GTTACAAAATTTGATGCATGGGCAGTGTGACCATTTTTATTGAACATATTTTTAAAAAATTCTGTGAATGCACTATTAATAACGTGTGAAAGCATTCTGAAATATATAATGTGTGTATATAAGTTATGTAAATTCGCAAAGCTTGTTAAAAATTTGCTTTTTGTAACTTCAAAATGTTGTCCCAAACACTTATATGTTAAAAACTATTGTTATTATTGTTAACTTATTCATGAATTAATTGCATAGAAGTTAGTAATTAATGAAAAACCAATACCATCTTCGGTACGAGTTCATGTACACTGTGCAATAATTATTAATAATTAATTAATTAAGGAAAAATTTATAAATGCATAAATTATTGTAAATATATATTTGCTTCTGATAGTCAGTTTATATTAAATTCAGATATGAAGGTAATTATACATACTTATATATTTTATGCTTTTTAGTAATTCTAGTAATTCTAGCCATATTTTTGTAATGAGTAATGAGCCATACTTTTCAGTAGTACAAAGATTATGCTGTATCATTTATTTAATTACATTATCAATACAAATCCTAATCTGTAATATTCATTAGGTAATTCTTGCAGAGTTTATTTTCCTTAAAATGAATTTGCAAACAAAAAATATTAGTTTCTCCTAAAATGCATAATTTATATGTGAGATCTTTCTCCTACTCACTTTCCATATATAGTTGTATTCATTGTTCTTGCAGAACTTTTATTCTGCAGATATGCAAAATACACAGCTTCTACCCACAATTTCTTTTCCATTCCAGTTGTACAGGAGTGCTCGTATCTTATCCAATAATGTTCGATTCTTTTCAGTTGAGGTGTATACTGTGTCGTATAATCTAGTATAATTACTTTTTGTCTGCACTAATTCTTGAATTCACGACTCGTAAACCTTCCCCCTTTCATGTTCGCATCTAAACCTGTATTTTATTCCACTTTGCTTTTGCTGCTGTAACATACTCAAACAACCTCTGCAATGCTTCAGTATATGACTCCATAAAATATATCAACACAAAATAAATAAAATCTAAGACTGCCATCGCATACCTATTTCTGTTCCATGTCTCTGGTTCTATAGGCCCATACATATATCAGAATGTTTAATTTCTAGCTGCCTTTCTTGTACAACTCTTTCTTGTTTTCTATATTTAGATGGCTCAATTTTCTGTATCACTACCAGCTTCTTCTTCCTCCTTACTAATAATGTTCTAGTCTGTATTTTTTCTTTCGGTTCGTCCACACAATAAAGTCCGTTAATACACATCTTCCCTACTAGTACTTTTTTTTTCCTTCTTATAACCTATTACATTATGTTTCTAGAACATTATTTTACCACCCTTAGAATTATTTTCCACATTTTCAGTTATCAGATATATTGATATTAAATTTTGTCTCAAGTTTGAAACATACAAACATTTTCAAATATACAGCTATCTAACTCAGTTCTACCTTTTACTATAGTTTCCATGAAAATATTTCTCTTTGCTGATCCAATTTCTGTTCCTATTGCTTCTTATTCCTTAAAATATTCTAGCTTGTTCACCATGTGGCTGGTTGTTCTTGAGTCCAAAATCCATTGTTTTGTTCCACTGCTCTCTATCAAGAAGCACTCTTTCTTCTTTTCTTCTTGATCTCCTTTGCTTTCCTTCATGTTTTTAAAATAACGGTCTTCTTACAAATGATTAGATTTCTTACATGTCCCACACGGAGAGCACATTTCTTGAGTCTCGTCTTTTCTTCCTAATCCTAGAAATTTTTCTGATTTTTATCCTAATTTTACACAACTAAAATATTTAATTTCTTTGTTACCTTTTTTGTTTTTCCAACATGCACTTGCAATTAGTATGCTTGAGTTACATTTTGAAACACCTCTTCTCTTGAGCTTTGCAGGCTACAGATCATTTTGATGATCTTGCTTTCCTGACAATCACCTGAGTTGTGAGATTATCTATTCCCTCTCTTCTTTTCGCATTATTCCCAAACAGTTGAAAATACACAATCTGGCAATGTACAACATAAGATTTTAATTATGAACATTGTTTATTCTATTTTGCGTCCTAATGCATGTAATTTGAAAACTTACCTGTCAGCCACGCAGTGTGGGTTACTTGGGTTTGCTGTTTTGTATCCTTCTCATAGATATTGCTTAATTTTACCCATATCTCATAACTTGACATACAGATTGGTATATCAAGTAATAATACCTTCCCTACGATTGAAACTATCAAATTTTGTAATTATACATTGTTAACCAATCTTGTTTGCAGTTTCCTACATTTCTTAGTTCTTCCATTATATATCGATACAAATCTTAAGACCATAGCGTGAAAACCACTCTAAATTTTCAAATATGATATCCATCTTGCGTCGTCGATCAGAGCCATCTATGAGATTGGACTGGAACCGTGAAGCCTTGTTGTTTGAATTTTCATTCGATAATAGAAAATTAACAAATTGCTCAATTTCTGCAATTAATTTATGAACTTTTATAATTGCATCGTAAAGCCGGATCCTTCAAGAACTTTCCAATATATTTTTTGATTTAAATTTGTCCCTAATTAATTAATTATTAATAATTGTTCTGCGTAGTGTTTGAATTGTTGTCGAAGATTGTCGAAGACCCCATTGGTTTTTCATTAATTACTATGTTTTACGCAATTAATTTATGAAACTTTATGCACTCATTATAAAGGTAATGTTCTTGCGAATCTTCTCATATAACTTTTAATCACATTTTGCTTCTATTTTCTTTGAGTACTAAATATTTTCACGGAAGATCGTGATGGTCGCCGCTACGAAATCATAAACGCCATAGAACAAAAATTAATAACTAACAATTTTGAGTTCAATTCTTTACGAATATTATATAAGAATGTTGTTTGAAGTTCCAGCTTTGCAATGAAATTATAAAAGCTCATAAATTGATTAAAGAAATTGAGTAAATAATTGTTCGCTATCGAAACCCTTCCATCCTTTTCTATCCCCTCTCTTTCCTCGTATGTCACGTGACGAGCCCTTCGACGACCTCCTCGCCTATTCTATATTCCTATTACTTTCTTGATATTTGAGCCCAAATCATAGATGGCGCTGATCGCAGGCGGTAAAATTTTTATTTATTCGAAAGTAGAAAATTAACAAATTTCCAAGTTTCTGTAATTAATTCATGAATATTTAGAGCTACACAGCAAAGTTGGATATAGGTTATAATATTTAATTTAATAATTAGTTAGTAGTAAATAAGATTACTATAGAAAACTGTTTTTCTTGCATAATATTCTTATTATTTTGCAATAAATGTGTACTAGCATAGGAAAGCGAGAAAAAAATTTTTTATTAAGAAATTTCATTTATAATTATTTATTTAGAATATTTTCATAGGCGAAAAATTAATACAAAATAAAAAATAGATTGAAAAAGAAAATATTGACTATGGGACGGGAGTCGAACCTCGATCCTCCAATATATGAATGTTCGACTGTCGCTATTAGACCACAACTTTATTTGAAAATTGCTGCAAATAAATATATAATTAAAGATGTAAATATCTCAAAAACTATTGAGTAGTTGCGGCTATAATGATATATTTTCTGAAACTGCAGAACGATATCTACAAACCTGCAATGTTTCAACTAAATCGGTGCCCCGAAGGACTTGCACTCTCCTTGTCAGTTGTCAGACTCAAACTGGACGCTCTCACGCGATGTATTTATCTTTAAAAGAAAGAAAAACACACGATGGTAGGCAAGCTCCTTCCTGCATACATAAATAATTTCTTCTGATATAATACGAGTATGTACACTGACTAACAAAAGTGAAGAAACAAAGTAATGATTTGCGAATTTTTGTATATATTGTAGTATTACTACAGATTAATTGTATTATCCGAGTTAATTGTGGAACATGATTCTTCGATTTTAATTTTTGTATATTTTAAAACAAAGGAACTCAATTATTGTATCTATACAATTGTAATGGTAATAAGCAATAAATTTATATCTATTTCAGTTAAATGTGTATGAATCCCAAATGTTTTTATTTAAAAATTTTTTTTTAGCTAAATTATACAATCTTTTCAGTAAACCTAATTTACTAAAATGACATTCTTTTTGTGCCTCATACCACTTGAGCCCCTTTTATGAAGCCTTATATACTTCAAAATGTTGAGGTACATTATTATCATCGTCATTACAATCATATTCTACTTCATTATTCGAATTAAATATAAGGCTGATATGTTATGCCATATTAAACTATTATTGGTTCGAACATTAAAGTTGTCACTCATGAAATGAATTTGAACTGAAATGTTTATATAACATTCTTATAATAGAGAATTGAAATAAGCTGCGGATAATTTGATGGTGCGGATAATGTAGGTTTTACTATAAAAATTAAAAATACGACGGAGAGATAACATTTTACACACAAATAAAAATGAATTTTTTTTCGATTATCGATTTTATATTTCGATCGTAAAGTCCACTTTTAATTTGAATTTAATTAACAATTCGCAAATAATTATTTTGTTTCTTAATTTTTCTCGTAAATGTAATTTGTTATATGTGTGTAATAACCTAATAAACCGTCAAATTCTTATATAAAACGCAGTGACGGTTTTAATCGCCCAATTACCTGAAAAATCCGATTATCCGGTTTTCGTGACTGTATACGAAGGCAAACGAGGGGTTGATGTGGGGAATGCCTTCTCACAGTACGTTCTACCAATTTGGGATACTAAGCACCTTGGATGTGCAATAAAGGATACTTTTCGCTTCTGTATACTTTGTGTTGAAATAGACGTAAAGAATTTATGACATGGCCTGAAAGAGTTTGGATGCAGTGGGAGGGTTTTTACCTCTGCGATAGAAAACCCAAAAATCATGAGTGAGTTGTCGAGAAGCGACGTATCCTGTCAGACGTGCTCTCTTAAGTATTTATAGAAAAAAGTGTTGGAAGTCAGCTACGCCCATGCAACGATGACGACATGCCGGTCGAAGGTTTCAAGGCATTACCGACCTTTGGAATTCAAGGGGTCGGTTTTGAGGGTTTAAATGGGCCTGCCGTCCTTCAGAGCTCCTCACTCCCAAGTTAGAAGCAGAACGGCTAGTTCACACATTGTGACCCATAGTGCTATTCAAAAAGACTCATACGCTTTAATTATATATCGCATAATAAACCTAAAGATTGCTATACAACTGAATGCAGTTATTTCCCTGTGCGTTTTCCTCCACGAAATTCCCAACAAAAAGACTTTAACCTCTGTTGCCAGACGGCGAGTTTTATTTTACCCATGCTTTAATTTTTACCCGGCTTCCTTTCTAATTCAACTTCACTTTACTTGGTTACGATTTCGAATGTGATGAGAATGCCTTATGCTGAGTTGTGTTGCATTTTGTATTCATTCTGATTGTGTTCTGTACGCGTTCTGTTCGAGTTCTGAGTGAATTCTGTTGTTGCGACGGCAATAATACTTAGAAGACGCGCCTCGCCGTCCTTCTTGAGGATCAACAAATTATAAAACAAGACATCAGACGATCGTGAGAATTCGAAGACATAAGACGGTTTGGAGAAATCAAACAGAACACATCAGATGACCTTAGCGAGAATTCACACAGAAAACATCAGACGGTTTTGGAGTTCAGACAAGACACATCAGACGTGAACTAGAACTCGAAGACGTAAGACGGTATTGAGGAGTCGAAGACGTAAGACGGTAGTTGGGAGAAAACGAGAAGACAGAAAACGGAAGACGGAAGACAAGACGAAAAACGGCAGAGGCGGAGACGATACAGCGCACACACCAATCACGCATAAACGAATCATAATCGTGTAATAAAGTGTAAATACGAGCAAGACAAACTGCGCTTTATTACAACACCTAAGTGCTCAGTGTCTCGTAAAGATTCGGCACACTGCGAAAAGGGGCAACACAAGTATATCAACGCTGCCCCCTCTGCGTGGAGCTCATCTACATCCACGCGGTGCAACATTTGTAATGTCTCGTCGTGTTCTTTTCGGTATCTCATCGATTTAATTGATTAAGAGTAGATGTTAGTGGAGAAAAATAGAGTTTTTTGATTGAACGTGGGTGTGTCGAAAGGATTCTTGATTGAAGAGTGGGAAATTATCAAGGAAGTTGCTTTTCGGTATTGATTTGATAGTTAATGTCGCGATTTACGGGCAGAGGTCTGTTCATTGCCTCGATGGGTCAGTCGCATGTTGGTCCAATCTGTTGGATCTGGCAGTTGTACGTGTTCTGTGCCTTTCTGTTAATTATATTGCTTAATCCGCTGGACGAACAGCAAGGCACGTTTAACCTTCGGCGTTGCCGTCGCAACAGTGGCACTAATTAATTCACTTAATTCAGGTCATTCTGTACCGGTATAATGTTGGTAAACATTCTATTAAAAAGAATTGCTTCTACGGAGATCAGTTTCGAACGTCTCTTTCCATCTTTAAAAAATATATCTTATCACATCGATGTTACAATTTGCTTAATGCTTCTATAAAATGATATATTACTTGAGAACTATACTTTACTCGAGAAAATGTGAAATAAAATTTATATTTTGCTCGTGTATTTCTCTTCAATCACTTCTATATTTATAAATAATATTTGTATAAGATATCGATTCGATCACTGATTCATGAAAAATAGTCCCATGTATAACATATCTTGAAAAGTACATTCTTCTCAGCAACATCGTTATTATATGTTATATTTATTTCGGTATTGTTACCGGTATGAATCGTCGAATACCGTTAAAGTATTATCGAAAATATCGATGTAAACGGTTTTATACCAATATTGAAATTGATTTACCAAATAATGATTACATTACTGTATTGTCGCAACAAATACTGGTATAATATTGAAGCCTCGAAATATTTCCATTCTCGGTCCCTGGTTTAATCCATTAACCGGGGAGTTCGTTTATCGAAAACGCACTCTGCACATGCTAGGGGAAATTTACGCCAACGAATTAGCTTGGCCTCCTCACAGTAAAAGCGAACTACGTTACACTTTCGACGTTACTAATGAAATGTACAGCAATTCAATTGTTAGTATTTTTTCGATACGAATAAACGACAGTGAAAAAGCACTTAGAGATTAAAATTAAAAATAATGACAATAAATAACTGATTCATTTAGTATAAATTTACGTGCACTGTTTTTAATTAACTGCGAGGAGTTAATTCGTCATGAGCGCTGGAGACGCATTCTTGAATCGCGAGTTAATTTTCAGTTAATCGGTTAAAATAAGTTAGAAATCGAATTCAGGAAATATTAACGACGATACAAATTATTGCTCGTTATGACTATCAGTATACATCGTTATTTCGATTTATCGTCTTCGAGCAGTTTCTCTGAAAGGCAAATTCTACCAAATCAGGCACATAACATCGTACTTGTGATTAGCTTCAAATCCAATCAACTCGCGATTATCTTCGCTTCGGAGATTATCTTAATAATCGTGTGCTATAAAAATAATCGATTGCTCTTCAATTTGACGTGCAGTGCGCCGAGAACATCACTGCGTTGCATAATCGTTGTGTATAGGTATAAAGGGTTATGATTAAGTGCAGGGCAATCACTATTCTCACTCGCTTAGTCGGAAGATTAAAAAATCTACATTTTGATCTTTTTTCTCGTATAATCTGCACACTTTTTCATAACTCCTAAGTTCATAATTTTGCAAAATTAATGCTTTATTGCATACAAGAAGCTTAAAAATATTATTTTCAAAATTCAGTTTAGCGTAACTTTTGTGTATAATTATTTCTTACAAATTCGTTTATATTACGAAGAATATTCCACTCAAACGATAAATGTAAAGCGGTCGAAAACGTCTAAAGTTTTCATTGAGTAAAATGAAATTCTCGTTCGGTTTTTGAAAAATAAATTTTCGTTCGAAACAGAAGTACAGTGGGAATACTCATATTCAAAACCTTATTACCTAAATATATGAATATTCGAATATCCTGTTATCTAAACGACCAGTGCTTGATAGCATTATTTAGATACAATGTATATATATTTTTCTGTTTGACGTCGTATCATAACAATGCTTAAACGAGAAATTGTGCACGAATTCTAGATAATCAAGAAAGTTTCAAAGTTAAACAAAAGATTGATTTTAGATAAATTTTTAAAGATAAATTTTAAATTCTACCAATACTTGCATAACAAAATTCTTGACTTTTATAAAAACAAATAGATTTTAATATGGGGAAAATAGTTTCAATTTTGAGAAATTCAACATGAAATATATGATTTCGTTTTAAAAAAGGTACAGGTAACCATCAATCTTTGAAATATTTTCACTGATTGGATAGATATACGTAACACGATTCATCATTCGACACCATTTCATCTTGCTTAATGAAATTTTTAACTAGCTGCTATCATTTTAAAGCTATTGTTTGACTGAGTATATTGTAGTTTAAAATAACCATCTTCTATTACTTTCAGTACAACATAATTACTATTTAATAAATGTAAATTTTAAATGAACGTAATTTAAAAATATATATTATTTGTAATTCTCGATAATTAAGTACGATTTTAATAAAGAAAGAGTGATATTTAGGATAAATAATGTAGGATACCAAAAGAAATCGAGAATCGGCTATTGCCAACAAAAACAAATTGTAAACCGATCGATATCTTCTAGAAGCAAATCGAAAAGTTATTCTATATACCAAAATTAAGTTGCATGGCTCCCCTACGGGGAGGTGAAGCGTAGGTCAAGGAAATTATAAAAGCATGGTCCTTGACAACCAAAACAGAGTCCTTAGAAATCAGCTGTGACCAGCGCAAGCGTGAGTCGCTTGGTGTTGAAAAGAGAGTTTTAAAAGAGTGCGTCTTTGTGTGTTTTCGTTATCTTGGTTTTCTTTCCCT